CATGGTTAGCCTGATGGCAAGGGGACCTTTTTTCTTTCTTTCCTTCCAGACGCGGATACGTACATAGGTTAGTAAAACCCTTACCCGTATAATCCGCGTCTGGCAACTACTTCCAGCCAACCTCAATCAATTATTTAAAGTTTCAAAAGAAAGGAGGTTAAAATTTTGTTTACAAATATACAGAAATATTAATTATAGTTTAAACAAGAATTTTATATATATATATATATATATATAAAATAAGTGGCACATCTTAATTCTAGTGCGTAATTATTGAAAAGCTTTTTCTCACAATTATTAACTCATGGTTGAACTAACTCATAACTTCTATTGCATCCTGATATGAAATGATATTAAATACCATTAAATACCTTCCTATGCGTGGGTAAGATGCTGCCCAAAACTCCAAGGAAAATCTTTCTTTTCTTCAAAGTACCTTAAGAAATGTAACAAAAAGGCTCACTGTTCTCAAGCCAAGAACTAAATTAATAGCAATTTTTTTATTTCTATAACTGCCATCAGAACGATTACTAATTCATTTTAATGTATTAATAATAATAGTTAATAAAATCGGTATTTCTTATCAACGGTAAAAATATAACGGAAAGAAAAAACGTGGGACAATTGGTACAAATATTGCAAGACTGAATCTTATAGGGATAGAATATCATGGTATAGAATTTCTCTTGAACAAATTATCATTGGTTGAATCACATTTAGGCATACTATATCTTGAAACAAACCCCGCTGTAAACAAAATACTTTTGCTATACGCGCTATTGTTCGTGGTAATTTATACTCACTATTGTTCATCTTACTACGGATTATCGGGAGTTTATTGTATCCATTTCTTAAATATATATTTATAGATTAAAGGCAAATAATCTTTGATGCATTGTGTATAAACATATCACGCCCCATCTTTATGATCAACACGCCACAATCACGTAAACAGAACAAGTATTTTAATTTGTGTAAAATTTTAGAAACATCTCTCTCTCTCTCTTTTTTTTTTATTGCTTCTCAAAATATAAGGCTATCTACAGCTTAAAGTTAGTCGTATAATCTGTTCCGTATGGACCATCCTCAATATATATTTTAAGAATTGTAGTAAAAAATTATGTAAAAAAAATAATAAATTTTAGAGTTCGCAGATTAATGTTCAAGTGAGAAAAGTCTAAACTATCTAAACTTAACCCAATAATTACTAATTTCAGGAAGAGCAAAAGATGAATTAAAATAATAAAAAAGCCCTTTATTTGTCTAGTTGAGCTATACGTCTCTTGCTATTAATCGGCTTTAAGCTTCATCCTAAAATAGATTGATAAATAGATAAATAATTGCTTTAAACCCTCCCTTGTTTTTATTGATCTCAATAGTGATTATTTAAGGTTGGAAAATGTTTATATTCTGTGTCACTTAAATGTGAACTTACGACCCTTAATGTGTTTTCTTTTTTGACTTTTTAATGGATTCCAAAAGTGTAATCATTATGACTCACACTGGACTGAAGAGTAATATTAAAAAAAAAAAACTCTCATTTTTTATTTAGTTGATTTTGCCATGAAGGTTTTGTGGAAATCTGATAAAGAAGTGATCAAACTTCAGCTATGGGATATTGCAGGTGAGAACTTCAATTAATTATCTTAAAATACATTACACATTTCCATAATTCAAAAGTGAATGAAGCGAATCAAACTACATTAGGAATCACGTTTTTACCTGATTAAACATGCTAGCAAAAGTATTCCCAGGAAACTATGCGCGTGTAAGGTTCTCCCTGAAAACACTTGTAAATGGTGGATACATAGAATCCAGGCTCTCTTAATGTTTCTGAGAGTGTGTGGAAAAGATATTTGTTAGCTACCTGCAGGATTCGAACTAAGAATCTCTGGGGTGGTAGTCGGATGCTCTAACCACCATGGAAAAGAGTGAACACTCCAGTGAATTAGGAAGCTTTATATATAGTAGTAGCCACCGCACACTCTGTGAACGAAAGGACTCGTTGTCAGTCGTTAGCGTTTCAAGAGACTAAGAGGCCGCACGGCCCGTGCGTGAGTGAAGTCGCCATTCCAATACATTTCGGGTCTTGACGATGTGGGCAGAGGCGATTTGTTTGTACTATCAAGGAGAACCGTGAAACAAGGCGATTTGTTTGTACTATCAAGGAGAACCGTGAAACAATGTGATGTAGTTAGTCGAGGAGTGATATAGTTGCATTTCGTGTTCGAGTGTCCGTAGTCACCAATGTTTAGGAGAGTGCGTAAAAGCGATGTTTGTTGACTGCTGGCCAAGGACCTAAACGGACGTAGTCGGATGCTCTAACCACCATAAAAAATAGTGTGCACCCCAATCGGGATGAATTAGAAAACTTTATCTATAGTGGCCGTCTTAACTTTTTTAGTTTGAAAGAGACTTAATTTAACAATCGGGTTTACGAAAAAAAGCCTTATCGCTAACCAGAGAATAGCATACAAACGCTTAATCGAAGAAAGCTATATCAAAATTTAACAAGTTATATATTAATGATGCCACGCATCGGAATTTGTTTGACAGAATGATATTATATTGAATGAAAGTTGTATTATAAATGAGGGTTTATGTAGTTCATAAGTAATCTGTGGGTATCAAATGAGGAAAAGCTAGTTTGAGGGTATGGAAAACACTGCTTTGTGATATTTAATATTAATGAAAAGTTATTATTGTGCGTCTATTCAAAGATCTTTTCTATTTAGCCTTATAGGTAGAGCCTGGATTCTACTCTAGATAGCCAAGGGGCTGTCATTCGGGGTTGAGTTCCGCCTCATTTTATTCCCCAAAAGATTGCAACGATACGGAAAATTTAACTCAGATGACACATGACTGTATTATTTTCCGTTATTACATCTTCTAGAACATTTTCACACTTTCTACAATCTTCAATACAGACAACGGATTTTAAAATCAAACTTTTTTTCCTCAGAGCTATAAAACTATGAACTCCTCGATTCAGTAGAATCATTGAATGTTATTAGTTTTGGAGATTAATAAATAATTTGACAGTCCATGATTTAAATCTACAACTTTCTAGGTCAATACAGACAACGAATTCTGAAATCAAATAATTTTCTTTCCCAAGGCTATAAAACTATGAACTCATTGAATCAGTAGAATCGTTGAATGTTACTAGTTTTTGAGGTTGATAAATAACACTGGAAACCAATTTTATTTTTCTGTTGCAAGATACTTTTTTTCTTTTTTTAACAAATCTTGGATATTTTTATACCGCTGATTTCAAATCTTCAATCACTTCCTCTTTTCAAACTACAATTTTTTTAAATGACATTTTTGTCTATTTTTTGTCGAAATGTACAGTTTAAAAACGATAAATATAATTGGGGGTTGAGACAAACTTCTGAAATATCGGCATGCGCCTCTAGGGGTGCTTTCTCTATTATAAACTATTTCTTCATGTACTTTTGAACAGGTCGTAACTGGGAAGCTCCCCTAGACGACATCCCCTAGCTCTCCCGACGACATTACCGGGCATGGGTTCGAATGTAATTTTAATCCTGGTGATGTGCTCTTATTCCCCTAGAAGTTTGTCGCAATATTTATGCTACCCCCTGTTATATGTATATGGTTTTTAAACTTGTACATTTCGACAAAGAATAGGCTGGAAATGTCCTTTAAAAAACCTGTAGCTTCAGGAGCTAAACTAATTTCAGATTTGAAATCCTCATACCTGAATTAGGCAAGAACAAGTGTTTGTATAGATTCAACAAAAAATTTGTTTCCCAGTGTAATTTGATGTTTGACTTCTAACGTGATTTTCGTTAATTTTTTCTTACTTTGAAATTTGATTGTACGGGGCATTTGCTGTAGTTTTTGCTAAACTTTTTCGCTAGGACTACCACATCAGATTTACCTTAAGTCATTGGTCAAGTTTTAGCGTTTTCAAGGCACTGCTCATCTTTAATCTCATTTATTAAAAATATGCGGAATGACGAAAATTATAAAGAAAGTAGTCTCTTTGATAATACTTGAGAAACAAATTGATTGAAATAGGAACATCAAATTAAAAGTCGAAAAATTGACAGTTTATCTCTTACAGGTTTTGTTTTAATGAAAATAATTACAATTAACCAATATCAATCATCATTCAGTAAAACCTTTCATATAATCTTAACCCAACTGACTACTTGATTCAGTGAAAATAGAAATTTGTTAAAAGCCATTCCAGTTTCAGCTGCAGAAGAATTAAATTATGACTATACTTTCTATTTGTCTTCCTTAGGAATTGTATTGTCCCCAAAAGAATTGGCGATGGTTTAAACTTATTTGGCAGAAAACTAAAACGTATTTCAAAAATCAATGATCAAAAAGATAAAAGTATCACTAAATATAGCAACTTCTTTTGCGTATGTTGAGATACAGTATTGCTTCATGGTAATCGACATTTTCTTCTCTAAGAAAATATTCCTTTGTTCATGTTTTAAAAATTTTTAACGTTAAAAAAAAAATGTTGCAAAACTGAATGTACACTTAAAAAGGCTCACGGATGAAGAAGCGTTTTTGTAAACTTCAGAATAATTTATATGTACTGGATATTTTAATAACGAATTTATTTAATAGAGAATCATACATTAAAATACTTAGGTGGATCAAATATGAATGAGACTTTTTTAATAGCAGCAGAAGATTTTTATTCTCATTGTCAAGGGAACAATAGAATTTTATCTAGTCTAAATAATTGTTTGGCAGTGTTTATTTCTTTGAAAGTTCTTTTTTTCAGTAAGTTGAATCATAAGTGAGCGTAAAGTTTCTTATGCCGTTGCACATCGCATTATAATTTCATTTGTAACAAGGGAAAAATGTCAAATCTAATGAAATTTTGGGCAGATAACAGGCACAGTTCGGCAATGATACCCTGTCGAAGGCTCAAGTATTCAAATGGCACAAGTTATTCAAACAAGGCTAAGAAGAAGTTGAAAACTTATGTCATATTTTTCGACCAAGTACGAGTCTTACGACAGAGAGAAAATTGACCAAGTTCATGACCTCATTCATAATGACTGACGAAGTTAAGTTCGAAAAATTAGTGTTATAACAGAGATAAGTTATGGAAATATACAAAGCATAATTCATGACGATTTGGAATGTCGAAAAATTTCAGCGAGGGAGGCGCCTAGAATTTTGAACACAAATCACAAATATACACGAAAAGACCTTTGTCAAAAGCCGCATAAAACCACAGTAACACAACAGAAGTTATAAGCGTTACACTGGGAAGCAGATGCACATCCTCCATATAGCCTGGACTTGGCACCTTCGGACTACCATATATTTAGACTGTTGCAAGAAGCCTCTGAGAGAGATTTTCATCCAATGAAGAAGTGCAATCAATTCACTACACGACGTATTTCTTTCTACGCCACCGGGATTAAAAAAAACTTCCAAAACGTTTGAAAAAGTGTGTGGAAGTTCACGGGCATTAAATAGAAAAATAACATTTTTATATTTCCCGAAAGTAAAATTTTAATATTAAGTTAATTCATTTATAATCATTTTATCATTTATAACATATAAATTAAACTCATTTATATTTGATCCACTTAGGTATAAATTTTGCAACCTAAAAAGATTTTGCCCACAAAACGGAGCAAGTTGGCCTCTCTGCTAATTTAGATGATATATCAAATTAATAAACAAATATAGACCAGAAAGTAATCAAAATGACGCTGTGGAAGTACCCTACTGGAAAGAAATTTAGGGTACAAGCCTGCTTATAGGCATCTTTTCGAAATATGTTTTCTACTACAAAGTAGTGTAAAACTGCATGAACTATTATATCGTAAAAAGTGCAATTATGTTATTTCGAATCGCCATAAATTTGCAAATATAAAAAAAAAAATTGTTTTCGAGTTTCAGGTCAAGAACGATTCACATGGATGACGCGAGTATATTATAAAGATGCTCAAGGTTGTATTGTTATGTTTGATCTAAATAAACGAAGTACTTTTCTCAGTGCAATGAAATGGAAAAAAGATGTTGATGCTAAATGTCACTTATCTGACGGTTCCTTATTACCTTCTATTTTGCTTGGAAACAAAGTAAGAATTTGATCATTTTTAGGGTTTGTTCCAGTGGCGTGAAGGTATTCAATCCAGCCAAAACAAATGCTGATAATGCATCTACACAAATTGAACAAATGAATCTATTGACGACTAAGGACACGAAAACTTAAATCCACCACTACTTTAATTGTGTAATTATATCTTTAACAGATAACATTTACTTTAAACAAAATAATCTGTTAAGAATAACCTATGATTTTCAACATGTTTAACAATGAAGTTTCAGATCGAGTTTTAAGAATTCTTTTTATTTAAAAAAAATTTAAGGATAATTCGTTGGAAATAATAATTTTTTTTACCGTAGAATAAATTTTTAAACATACCTGAAAATGAATTTAAATGACTGATTCAACTTTTTATAAAAAATTAAATTAAATTTTTTAAATTAAATAGGCGGTTTTTGCCCCTTTTTTCCATTAATTTCACTCTTCTTTTCAATGGCATCTAATCAAGTATAATCGGGTATCCAGTTACTCCTGCATGCCACTGGTTCATTCATATGTATCTAATGTTTATTATAAAATAAAAATCATGATGATATTTCCGATATTTTTAGATAAAGTGTGCTAAAAAATTCTATTTAATGGAAGTTAGTCGGTTGATAAGAGGATTAGTACAAAATATTCCCAAAAAACCTAAGTTTCAAGATGAGTTTTTCAATGCTGAGCTCATAGTTTGGTGGAAAACTGTTAAATTCGAACATCAGTTAGAATTCATTCAAAACATTTGATTTGCTAGCTAATAATTCACTTTTTATCCTATGATAGCTGTAAAGAATATATTTTAGTTTTTCAATAGTTCAATCTAGACTGTGCGAACGGTTAGGGACTAAAAACGCACAATAAAAAATTTAAAATTTTTATACATTTTAAAAAATTTATATAAACTTTTATGAATGGTGGTAACTACTTTACACCAAAGTGGTGTAGTGAAAAACGCCATACATAACTCTTGGATCTAGTGTTTCACTGTACCAATGTTCTTTACACAACTTAGTGTAAAGTAGCCGTCACTATTTTTGTTATTCAGTAGTGCTAAAATTTATAATTACAGTAAGATAAGATACACGGAGAGATACACACATAAGAGTCAGCAAAGTTATTTTTACTATACAATGTAAAGTAAGAATCATTAATTTAGAATGCACAAATCTTAATATAAACAAGTCTTAAAATTAAATTGTAAATCTAACACACGCGTATAACAGAGAGAATCTTAAGGCGAATTAGAACTAGGCTTAAGTAAACGGAAGCAGATAGAAATTACACATTAAAATCAGTTTATACAGTTCTCAGTGATTTCAATTATCCTTATTACACAACTAAAACATACATATTTAGCAGCGAATTTTTCGTTTCTGTAGAAGGATAACAGGGTTGAAAATAACAAATTCTCGCCTGCTCATTCCAGATAGTAAACAAACTACTCGCGATATTCTATACTTTGCGTTTCCTGAATTTTTGATATTCAAAACACGCCAACATTGGCGTTTTCCAAAGTGAAAATAATTCTCGAATGGAGAGAAAGCGTGAGAATTTTGGTGTAAGATTATTTAATTCTTCGTGTTAAGATTTAAATCACACTCTTTAAATCCTATATGAACGCTCGCAGTGTTTCTTTACACAATTTTGGAGGTTTTCAACATCATATTCGGAGAGATATTACACGACAGTTTTTACAGTGTAGAAAAACTTTACTTTTTGTTTAGATATTTCTATAAAAAAAATACCTAGAGAATTACTATTTAAATAAAATTGTCATGACACTCGAGATTAAGCTTTTCATTTTAATAACTACATAAAGCATATTTAATGTTTGAAAATCTTTTTTATGTTTGTTAATATTGTATTTGATAAAAAAAAAATTCTTAAATACAAAAGACAATTTTATTAATTATATTCTGATAAGATATACGTGAACTTTATGTATATACAATATCAAAAATATCGGATGAGCAAAATGTGAAATAAAAAAGGAAAAGCTGAATTACTTTTGATTTAAAGATAACTTTATCCGCATTTCGCTATAACTCTAGATCTATTTAAGCGAATAAAAAATTTTTTTTGCATAGAATTACTAAAATCATTTTTCCAGAGATAAGTTCGGGCAAAATATAATATTTCAGGATTTTTTTTATACACGTTTATTTAACTTGACAATGATAAAAAAAAGGTGTAACATTTTTTACATCTATCCAGACTATGTAACTTTAATAACAAAATTCAAAATTTGGACCGATTTTGTCTTTAGAAATTAAAATTTGCAATTTTTTATGAAATTTTGTTACTCAGAAACAATTTGACAGATTTCATTCAAATTTTTAATTTTATCATTTTAATCTTTATAGTTTAGATTAATGTAAAATTTTTTATGTCTCACGATGAAAATGCATTAATCATCATTAAATTAAATAATTAATAATACTGAAAATTCATATTTTGGTTGAAATATACACTGGTGTGCAAAACTTAAGCAACAAGTAGTTTTTCGGTCACAGCTCCCCAACAAAGTATAAGATAGCCATGAAATTACAGTATAATATGCACGTAATTCAGTAGAAAGATTATTTGTATGCAAATTTTAGAAATAAAACGTCGTAGGTGATGTAAGTGTACGTAAACCTTGTGGGTCGGCGCGCGCAGGTCAAAGCTGTGATAAAAGGATGAAGAGCACCGTAGTTAAAGACATTCGCTGCAAGTGCAAGTGATTTGTTTTGTGAAACATGTCTTCAAGAAATCATTTAGACGACTTTACTCGAGGAAGAATGATTGGGAAGCTTGAGGAGGGGCGTAGTGTGACCAGTGTCGCCGAAGAGTTCGGGATCAACAAAAGTGTTGTTTCTCGTGCTTGGAATGCCTTTAAAACTACTGGTACAGCTGTTCGGAAGGTTGGTGGTGGCCGTCCAAGGAAAACAACACCAAGAGATGACCGTTACATTGTCCTCCAGGCGAAAAGAAACCGTTTTCAGTCAGCGAGCGCCATATCTCAGCAACTGTGCACAGCCACAGGACGACAAGTATCAAGATTTACAGTGGCCAGACGCCTCCACAAAGGTGGCTTATTTGCTAGACGTCCTGAACGCTGCATACCTTTAAAAGTTAGCCATCGGCGGCACCGTTTAGAGTGGTGCAGAGAACACGAAACCTGGACACCTCATCAATGGAGTCGCGTCCTCTTCACAGATGAGAGTCGTTTTAGTGCTACAAGCGATTCTCAACGTCAGTTGATCTGGAGAGAGGTTGGAGCTCGATTTCATCCCAATAACATCGCGGAAAGAGATCGTTACGGTGGTCCTGGAGTTGTCGTCTGGGGCATTATGTTGAACGGGCGGACTGAGTTTCAGATCTTCGACAGAGGTTCTGTAACTGGAAACCGCTGCTGCAATGAGGTAATCCTACCCCATGTGCGTCTGTTCCGAGGGGCCATTGGACCAGACTTCATTTTTATGCCCGGCCACACCGTACTGCTAATGTTCAAGAGCTACTGGAAAGTGAATGGATTGGCCAGCTTACTCTCCAGATCTAAATCTCATACAGCGTGTGTGGGATGCATTAGGGAGACGTCTTGCGACACGACAGCATCCTCCTGGTAAGACCCATCAGATGAAAGATGCGTTAAAGGAGGAATGGAGACGTTTACCAGAAGAACTCCTGGATAATCTGGTGCTCAGCATGGAGAGACGATGCCAAGCAACAATTACAGTAAAGGGAGGGCATATCCCATACTAGGGAACATCTGCCAGTTGTACTTACGCTTCTTCAGGCAATCATGCGTAACGCTACTATATAACAAATAAAGCCTTTTTTTGTTCCATTCCCTACTTTAAGCTTTATATTCATTTTTGCGCCATTATTCTTTTAGCATCGTTTAAGTACAAAATGAAGTACATCATATTTAAATTTCATCTCAGTGGGATGATTTCTTGTAGAGTTATGACAAAAAACGCACTTGTTGCTTAAGTTTTGCACAACAGTGTATTATCATTGGAAAAATGAATTTTTTAATTCTACGCAAAAAGTATTGATTTGCTTAAACAGTTCGAAAGATATAGCGAAATATACAAAATGAAATTAACATCAAGGTGATCATCTCTTGAATTAACTGTTAAGTGTATAAAACCTGTTCGATTTAATATTTTATTTCATAAGCTGAGTTAACCAAATTCTGAGTTCAATATTCAACTCCGTATCCTTGTCCAACCTAGAATACTAGGGAACTCTAGAATCAAATTACTTTTTTATGGAACTAACCGCTTTTGAGTTACATGGAGAGGAAAAGTACGAAAATCTCCCACGGTTAGCCCGACGGCAAGGAGATTCTAACCCATGATCCATCTACCACTGAAGAAAAATTGTTTTATTTTATTTTATAACCATCCTTGAACAGCCGACGCAATTTTGAGTTTACGACTATTAATGTTCAACTCCGTAGCCTTGTGATTTGGAACCCAATCCAGAAGACAAAGGAAGTCCTGGATCAAGTATTAGGAGAAATTTACCTTCGTGGAGTGCTTTTTGATTTAATTAGACAGCATTTGCGTTACATGAGAGGAAAACCACAAAACCCTGAGCCATCATGGCTCTTGTCGGTTGAAACTGGGTTTTATAGTCATATTTCAATTTCTTTGTTTCTTCCAGCAATCAAGCAGATTTCGATAGCACTTTTTTTTCCTTCGCTTACATATTAATTTGCAACCACTAATGAATATGCTTTTCTGACTTCATTTTTTCACAAGAATTCTAAAATTATATACATTAAGGGCGGTCATCTTGGAAAACCCTGCATCACATATTAGATAGTTAGAAAATGAGATTTCGAGACTTCTTCAAATTAGGCCAACATAGACATTCTCAAAGACAAAGATTTATAAACATTTCGAAGTATATAACTAATTTGCATACTAATAAATACGGAGTATTGTAATAAATATATCCTTTTAGTTCTCTGAATAAATATAAAGAGTTTTCTTAAGCAAGAATTAAAACTCTCAATATTTTATTTACAGTGTGATTTACCTGTAAGAGATGTCAATCAAGAAGAAATAGAATACGCATACAGAAAAGGAAACTACATAGGCTGGACGGAAGTTTCGGCAAAAGAAGGTTTGATGGTAGATGACTGCATGAAGTAAGACATTTCAATTAAAGTCATTATATTTAGAATATATTTACTAACAACTAAAGAAATGATAACGCGTAAAAAATATGAAATTTTAAAGACATCAATCTTAAATAATTTCAATGACATCAATCTTAAATATGCAAACAAATATGTGGAAATGATATTTTGAGTAACAAAATCAGACTCAAAATTTTTTGTGAATAAATGATGTATGAAGGATATTCTTTTTGTTTAATACCTTTTGTTAGCAGTACAATTTTAGTTCACTTTAGTTTATGTTTCTGTATAAATATCAAAATTAGAAAGGTATGTTTTCAAATATTAAGCTAGTAATTCTGAGCTTCGGTTTGTATTTTTTGACAACAGTGGTATTCTCAACATTAATGCATATTTACTTAAAAACTGGTCGAGCGGTATCGCCCGTCAAACGCAGTGGGTTCGAATCCTGCTGTTACCCGGGATGTATCTGTATTGTGCTATCTGTCCTTCTATTTGATAAGCCTTAATTGAGCACACAAGCTTGCAAATGTACCAATAAGTAAATACTTAAAAACTACTCGAAGCACATTACTTATACTTTTTGAAGTAAGTTTTATGTGTAAACACTACTAAAAACTATGAAGTACATGAACAGAAAAATCTGAGAATAATCATCATAAAATTTACACGCATATTATAGTTTTTTTATGTGTTTCAGACTGGCTTTAGAAAGATAGAACTGTACTGTTTGTTGCGTTTTGTTTAGAAAACCAGATGATAGTTTAATCAAATTTCAAAATTAGTAACTAAGTTCGTCAGTAGATGGAGCTGGTGAGAAAACTAGGAAGATATATATATTTTTAAATAACCATTGTTTCCAGCAACAATATGGTGCAGTCTGATAAAAAAAATTAACAGACGCTGATGCAAATGTTTTAAATGGAATGATCTGATAAGCAACAAAAACACCAATTTTTTTTCTTTAGTTTTATTAGTCAGCAGCACCATTTGTTTATAAACTTTGTAATTAATTTTGAAGTTTTGTAACAATAAAATTTAGATTCTTACGCAGAAAGCTGCAAACCATACATTTATATCCCTTTAATTTTTTCTTATTGATTTTTTAAATTATCAGTTTACTTTTAGAATAACCAGTATATTTTTTGAACTCTACTATTATAATTTTGAAAACATCTATCATTTTAATAATCATTTGGTTTTTATCTATAATTAGTATAGCGTAATCATAAAACTAAAATACTGCTAAATCCTACAAATGTAAAAATCTTTTTTTGTAATATTTTAAACTAATTTATACATTTTTCATATTATTCATTCTAATCTGATAATTTCAAGGTTAATTGCACTTATTTACATATAATTCAATAGAATTTTCAGATAATTCTTCGGTACATATCTATACCATTCATCGCTATAATTCGGAAAATTTCTAGTGTTAAGGTAGAGGTTTAACTCTTTGAAGACCAGTTTTTTTCCAATAAAAAAAAACAAATTGCGACTTTAATAGATCAAATAAGGTTAAAATAACATTCTGCCAAAATAAAAACTAACTATTNCTTATTTACATATAATTCAATAGAATTTTCAGATAATTCTTCGGTACATATCTATACCATTCATCGCTATAATTCGGAAAATTTCTAGTGTTAAGGTAGAGGTTTAACTCTTTGAAGACCAGTTTTTTTCCAATAAAAAAAAAAAAATTGCGACTTTAATAGATCAAATAAGGTTAAAATAACACTCTGCCAAAATAAAAACTAACTATTTGGGGAATTGGGGGGGGGGTGATGGGAAATGTGTCACAACGGGTTTTTTACATAGGCCACATATATCCCAATGGGGTTTTCGTACACAAGACATACATGTCCCAGGGAAAGTAAATGTCCCTAAAGAATTAAAATAAATTCTGATGCTATTTCGTTTCTTTTAAAATATCTCATATTAACAATACACAACGGACCAAATCTCTATTACAGTGCGTATGACGTTTACACAAAAATAAAATGAAAAATTACCATTGACTATCAAAACTCGAAATTTCAATAGAATACAATTAGAATATTATTTGGGGATAAGTTTTCTTTATATAACTGCAAATTATTTTCCCAGGAATCAATTACATATGTAAGTCGTAACTTGTATGCGAGCAATAATTGGCCTTTTGCTCCAGAATGCAGAGAAATCTTGATACAGAGAACAATCTTGAACTGAATACACAAATCCGATCCAAAAACTGTATTTTCCTCAATTCTCCTCGAATTATTCTTAAATTGTATCTTGAGTATTTTATTATTTTTTGACAATACTTTTAAAAAATTTCTACTAATAGTAACCTTTTTAGAAATGAATTGTTAATTTTTTATTAAATAAAAATGTAATCCTTTATCGTTTTATGTAAATTTCATAATAGGACCATTTGCAAAATGTAACCCTTTATCGTTTTACGCAAATTTCATAATAGGACCATTTGTCCAGTGTTCGACATTGCTTAATTTTAAATCCGCATCCTGAGGGGAATTTCAAAAATTAAATCTAGCTCTTAACTGGTTAAGCAAAAGAGGAATTTTTTTACTGAACAACTGATTACAGTTTAAAAAATAAAGTATACTTTATTTTTAAAAAAAAAGTTAACAAGGGTATAGGATATAAATATGCATTACTTACATTAACTTCAGTACACATTATTTTGCATCTACAAAATCGAATTAAACACATGGTGCTTTGTGATGGTCACCTTTAAAGTAAAAGGCGTTGCACAACCACCACCTTTAATATAAATTTTTAGAATTATTGTCAAAAATGAGGGAAAAAACACACATTAGGGGTCAGAAATTAAAATTTAAATGTGGAGAAACATAAGACTGACAAATCAATAGAAAGGGCCAAAAAGCTTCTTCAACTGTTATAATTGAAGATTAAACTAAAAAGCAACTTCTAATTAATGAAAAGTAAACACATTTTAGTCCCATTTGACAGTTTTATTTCTTTTTAGTGATTTCAATCGCAACCAATTTTCATCTCAAATAAACTTCTTATGGGACATTTCTTTTCTATTTAGATTTTTAGTGGATGCAATGATTAATAAAGATGGTGGAAGGGTCTCAGTACGGAATGAGCAATCAACAGTAGACCTAGTAAAAACAAAGAAGAAAAGGAGCTGTTGTAAATAGAAAAACTGTGTTAAATTTATTTTTACATAAACTAGTTAGAATTTTCTTCTCAATATAGCATCCCTGAAAAAATATATTCTTTTCAACTGATAACTAAATTAAACATATGATAACTCAACTTCTTTAAAATAAATAATACATACGATGTTTATTGAAGGATTTTAATAAGTAATAAACACACATTTTTGTCTTTTCATAAATGTAACAATAATATGTACCGAATATCAATAGAAAAGTGCGGAGTTTCACTGCAGTACTTCTAATTGGTTTTTTTTTATATCTATGATGCATGAAATAGAAGGCACGTAATTAATTTTGAGGACTCATCTTATAACTCCAGAAAATATGTGAATTACACACCTATTTAATATGTTTTACCATGTGAATTACACACCTATTGAATACCATATAAATTACACACCTAGATATAATTTCCACCTGGGGTAATGTACAGTCCGCAAAAAAAAAAAAAAAAAAAAAAAAAAAAAAAAAAAAAAAAAAAAAAAAAAAAAAAAAAAAAAAAAAAAAAAAAAAAAAAAAAAAAAAAA